TATTATCAAAGGAATAATGACAGTAATTCTTTGGAGATTTTTGACAAGATGAGAAAATTGCTCTTGCTATTTCTCACCATAACAGGTATGATCTGTGCTCTAGATATATATCGTTCAAACATAGTTAATATTAATTGTGTTAGTTTAATATTTAACATTGTATTCTATTTTCTATACTCTTGTTCATGCATTTAGTGCTGCTTTCTGCAAACACTGTTATAAGTGTTTTTATTTTTTACTTGTTTATTTATGTAAAAACTTGGTCTTTTAAGAGTGGAACAAAGAGTACCAGAAGAGACACAAGTGATGTTGGAGAAACCTGTGCTAGAGGCAGATTACCTGACTGAAGAGACGCCAGAGACAGAACTAGAGCCTGAGAAATAACTGCCATTTAGACAGACAGAAACATTGTACCTGTGGAGGAAGCTGTATCAGAGTTAGAGTCTGAAACTAATACAGAAGTGGAAGATGACAAAGAAGAAAATGTAGTAAAGGAGGAGCCTACACTTGAGGCTGACTATATAACGGGTGAAGGTCCAAAAATACAAATGGAACCTGGGAGGGAAAGTCGAAGGACACAGATTGGTAAACCACCTCAGATGATATTAGTTTTGCCACTGTGTACAAATAGCAAACAGGTCTGATACTAGCATACTTGGCCAAAAGCACTAAATAATGCAGTGTTTAGGGTCATTGTGAATAGTTGCCTTTATCAAGCAGGTGTGACCTGTAATGTAAGCTTAGATATGGAATGATGATTGTAGTGGGGTGATATGTCCACAGGGTGGTGGACTTGTGGAGGAGTTGTCCTACAGGGCAAATGTTTCCAGTTCTTCACAAGACACCTCAATGCCTATCAAGCTGAGGTATTAATGTCATTTATGATCATATATGCTTATTTGAAATAGGGAAGCTAATGGATCGGAATGGCGGCCGCATTCGCGCATGGCTTGGAGGACGGAGAATCCTTCGAGTATGTTCATTTGTTTTGCAGTGTTTCACTTTTTCACATGGTTTATTCATTTATTCTCCACCATATCTGTCCCTCAAGTAAGTCACTTTCTTGTTTTGACAGACAAAAAAGTTCTGATGGTTGGATGGAACGCGGTGGAGCTATAATGGCAGGGCTAAAGGAGACCCCAATAATCGTGGTGGGAAGGAGAACTGTGAAGAGACGTGGCGTAAGTGTTGCTACTGAACAGCACTTAACAAAAATCTATCAATAAATGGCATTCATCACAGAGATAATCTAAAGGAATAATATAATCCTTCAACTCTTTCACCTCTGTTCTCCTTTTATAGAGATACTTTCCTCTTTTTCCTGATCTGTCTTTACCAGTTTAACAAAGCTTTGTCTATTTTCAGATTCTCTGACGTTCAATGATGCACAATGCATAAGACCCAAACCGATCTGTTCCTGTCCTCTTTAGACAGCCAGAAGGTTAACCTAACCTGCTATTCAGTAACTTTTATGAAATAAGTGTAAATAATGATTAGATAAGTGTAAATAAAAATTCATAAGGGTTATCAACCAGTGTTTTATTAAATTTGCCTTGCATTGTTTACAAAAAAGAATAATAAAAAAAATATTTTTATACACCACAACTGATTCATTTAGTTTGGTTAATATAGCATTAATTGGTTTTAAGCAATTTAATTGTTTACCAGCTAAAACATGCTTTTGAAAACTTTGTGTAAATAAAGCTGACTTTTATTATCAAAAACGTATTTTGTTCTATTTTATTACTGTATATTAGGCTGTAATTTTCATGCCAATTCATTTAGCTGTTAACTGAAAGGTCACTCAATGTTAAATCCTCGCAGAGCTTTTCACTAAAGCTTCACAAAGGCTTTAGGCAGGCGCTAGTACGCTAATAGCTCTCATCACCATGAGCCTACCATGCAGGCTGTTTTCCATCCCATCATCTGGCCAGGAATGCCAGGGTTCCCATGTTTCTGTGCATCATCTATGGGATAAAGAGAGAGCCACTTGGTCTGACACATGCATTTGTTGTGAAGCCAGCAGTGGTCCCTGGGACAGTCATAAAAATGAACTTTAGAGCAAGAGGTGCCAAACAGACTTTTACATTTAAAAAGAGAATAAAACATTTGCAAGTCTATTCTGATTCCTGGACTCAAGACTATAGAGACCAGATCTGTTAAATTCCCATAGATAGTACTATAGAGCCACAGTGTTTACATGTTTCTCAGAAATCCAACAACGAATGTCTTACTTCTAAGATCAATATTAACAGTTCTAACAAAAAAAAAAAAATGACATCACTTTTAAAAATGAACTTTAGTACAGATATACTAGTTCTTTCTAGAGATCATACATCAAACTTCTGATTTTGGAAAAATTTGTCTTTTTTGAGCGTTTGGTCTTAATGGTAATACCGCGGATGCTGAGGATCAGTTGCTCAGAGGATCTGCTAGAATCTTTAAAGCCAAAGATTTTCCACAGAGCCACAGTGTTTACATGTTTCTCAGAAATCCAACAACGAATGTCTTACTTCTAAGATCAATATTAACAGTTCTAACAAAAAAAAAAAAAATGACATCACTTTTAAAAATGAACTTTAGTACAGATATACTAGTTCTTTCAAGAGATCATACATCAAACTTCTGATTTTGGAAAAATTTGTCTTTTTTGAGCGTTTGGTCTTAATGGTAATACCGCGGATGCTGAGGATCAGTTGCTCAGAGGATCTGCTAGAATCTTTAAAGCCAAAGATTTTCCAGAAAGGTTCATATAAATACTATTATCAGAATATCTAAAGATTAACGCCCCCTCTCTCGCTTTGTCCGACACATGGGGCTGAAGCTTACTTTGGCATGCACAACACATTGTTCTCCATGGCTGAGTCAGTTTTCCATTTTACCTAAGCAGCTGTGTTTTCACTACTGGGTGTCAGTGAAGGATCTGCAGGAACTAAACCACAGCCACTCCAGCCATTTCAGTCTTCAGATTAATACTTGTCATCTCCCTGGCCTCTTGTTTAACATTAGAAACAAATATGTGCATGTATGAAACCAAATATTGCACTAATGATGAGAATTCCGCCTAAATTCCACCTTAGAAAAGTTTTTGTATTTGCTTCAGATAATACAGATGTTTCAACCCTGATACAACAATGCTTAACTAGTTAACAATTTGATATTATCGCTCAGCCATGTTTCAGCAGTATCACTGTTCTCAGAAGTATTATAGACCTGAATGTGATACAGCAAGGTTGGTGTTTACAGCTTCAACAGGAGTGTTAATCAGACGTTATGCTCTCATCCCAGGTGTCTGATTAAACATGGCCTAAGACTGAGAGACATGATAATCTCATAGTGTAAAATTTGTTTACCATGCAAGGGGACTAGGGAGTACTCTTTTTTCTCCTTTTGGATGATCGTAATAGATTGTTTGTAATTTGCAATTGCTGTTTGTCCTTCAGAAGAATGTGCCACTCCACTGAGACACAAGGTGTGCCCCAAATCATGTACTTATATACTATTTTATGCCACTTAAGTAGTTTTTCACACTGAAGATTCCAAAAAGAAAAAGTGCTCTTGATGCAGTTAATTAACTGAAAAAAAATGGAATGTTGGACACTTCAAGCACTTAGCTCTGATGCTGGATGACAAAATAATCTTCTAAAATTATAAGTATAGTGCATTGTATAAGCATAGTGTATTGTACGTCATTTGGAACACAACTATAGCTGTTATACTCATGCATGTGATCGACCGGCATTTCACATAAGTTTAATGGTTACATAGATGCATAATAATTATTAAATTAAATGCTAAACTCTTTGGTGGCCTTGATTATTTTAAAAAGGATAAATAATTAAAATTATTTTGTGATTCAAAACAGCAAATTTCGCCAAAAGACGCTATGATCACTGAAATTAGTTATCAAAGGTAAACATATTCAAGGCAATTACATTTTTAAATACTCGTATGCTCATACTCATAAAATACTACTTTTTCAATGATTAAATGATTACTTAATATTCACAACATGGCAGTGAATTATTTGTAATTCACTGATTCTCCCTCATTCTTCTTATTTTTTTTATTTCCTTTCTAAAAAAGAAAAAGAACGAAAGAAAAAAAATGGCATATTGCTAATGAAAGAAAGAAAATAACATATTTCTTATGAGAGATCTGTTTTAGTACGTTTTACTAGGCTTTTTTTCTGTTTGTAACCATAAACACAGCATTTATTAAGCAAGATTTATTCAGATTATATTAAAGGATTAGTTCACTCCTGAAATAAAATTTCCTGATACTTTACTCACCCCCATGTCACTCAAGATGTTAATGTATTTTTTTCTTCAGTCGAAAAGAAATTAAGGTTTTTGAGGAAAACATTCCCATAATTGTGTAATAGTGAACTAACTATTGAAACCTCTTTTACTTTAGATAAAAATACAGGCAAAATAGTTGTGTACCTGAAACTTGCCCATATATGACAAAATATTTAAGATTGTTTAGACTCTACAAGACTTGGGACAACCTGATCTCATGAGAAAACAATTTTACAAGTTGGCAGTTTAGTATGAATTTGTATGGTGTGGTGTGATTTGTATGGAAATGTACAATAAAAAAAATAAAATAAAAAAAAACATAAGCATGAAGTGCCAACCCCTAAACCAAACTGTCAATGGGCGTAAGCAGATTCTACAAAGACATATGAGATAACACCAATTTATAAGATTTAGCCACAAATTTGACAAACAGTAAATAGTTACAAATTGCAACAAAAGTGTGTTTGGACTTGTGAACACATTTAAATTTCTGTGCATTTCATTAGTGACCCAGAAATAGTGTTTCTTCTTCATTTTATTCCGTTTTTATGCTTTATTTGTCTAAATCCCAGAGTTTTAATGCAGTATGAAACTTTTGGATCCCACTGTATTTAGGTGTATGTGCATGCAGGTGTTCAGATCAGTAAATACAGTGATTGAATTGCAATGACACGTTTTACTGGTGCTCTTTTCAGAGGATATGGACTGTAAAGACATGCAGAAGGAGGCACTGAACAGGCGCAATGCCTGGGAGCCCACGGTCTTCTATTCGCTTGGCAACGAGACCTTTTTCTTCACCGGGCAGGAGATCAACATCCGAGAGTCACTCGACTCTTTTGGCGCCGTCATCTGGCCAGGCGTGAGAATAGATATTATAGGACTCTTCACACTGCGCTTAACCGAGGGTTATCGTCGTAAGACGTCGTTCTAAACTCCGCCTTTAAAGGGATAGTTCACCCAAAAATGAAAATTCTGTCATCATTTACTCACCCTCAAGTAGTTTCAAACCTGTATGAATGTCTTTGTTCTGCAGAACACAAAGGAAGATATTCTGAAGAATGTGGGAAACAGAGCAGTTCTGGGGCACCACTGACTTCCATAGTATTTTTTTCTCATACTATGGAAGTCAATGGTGCCCCAAAACAGCCTGGTTACAAACTTTCTTCAAAATATCTCCCTTTCTGTTTGGCAGAACAAAGACATTTATATGGGTTTGAAACTACTTGAGGGTGAGTAAATGATGACAGAATTTAAATTTTTGGGTGAACTATCCCTTTAACTCCTGGTGGAGAAACCGTTCACACTTGCAAATAAGAAGCCCACCACCGCTTTATACCTGGGGTTATTAAAAAACTCCGCCACGGAGCAGGGTTCGCGTTAACCCAGCATTGTGGTGCCAAACCAAACCTGTAGCCTACAGTCAGTGTGATTCCTTGTTATATGTTACGGCTAGATGCTAAGTCGTAATTACGACGTCAGGTGCGTTCAAGTCAGTTTAGTCGGCACAAGATGGCGGTGTACCCTCTTTTAATAAATTACAAGAATTCTTTTACTTGGATTTCATTAACTAGCTGCGTAACAAGAACATGACCCACTTAAGTTTATAGGACAACTAAACTATCAATTTAAACAAAAATTTACCGTCAACTACAGACGTTGCATCCATCGATTCCGCCATGTTTCTCATTGACACGCCCCCACCTCGGAAACTCGGGGCTTAAAGAAAATTGAGTTTCCCACTCGTAATAACGACTTTGTGGTGGCGTTCATGTGGGTTCAACTCGTAAATACGATTGATCCGACATGACTTGAACGCACCATTAGTAACAGGCGCCTCATACTCACGTGCTTTGCCTTTGGACAGTCACAGAAAATCCGCGTGTTGTATATTAACAGTAGTTCCAGCGTTTAAGGGGAAAATGGTGACATCAAATAGTCCACCTTACCTTTATATTATGAAAAGTCCATTCAGGAAAAACTCAACAATACAGTCGGTAATAACCTGAGGATGCAATTTGTAGTGATGTTACATTCAACACCGAAGCTTCGAATCTTGTATCAAAAAAACAACACATTTCACATTGAAGCACTGTATCGGAGCTTGATTCGGTTTGAGAAAAGCACGTGATCTATGACGTCTGAAGCTTCACTTCGCCTGAAAACCACGTGACTGCTTCAGTATCTGGTTCAAACGAAGCGAATCTCAGCGCCGTTTCCTTTACATTATATTGTGTTAGCATTGTTTTTATCGTAATTTATATATTTAGCTCAAATGAACTTTGGCCTTTCTAAGGACTGAGGCAGAGTTAAAATAAACAGATCATAGAATGAATTTGTTTTATTTATTTTACTTATTTTAGGGCCAGTACGCCGACACAAATGAATGACTTCGACAATAAACATTTATATAAAATATAATAAAACAAAAAATCAGTTGTAGAACCAGATGTGAAACCGCTGGCTGTAATGGAACATAACACTTTTGGCAGGTGCTATTTATTTTTATGACCACTAGATGGCCACAGCATAAACCGTTTTAAAAAGCTTCGAGTAATGAACTTTTCCCGATACAATTGTGATTAAAGCTTCACTGCTTCACTGCTTCAGAACGCTTCACTTCGCCATCACTGGCAATTTGAACATTTACATAAACAGGTCGCGCGTTGTCTTCGTCCAATCAGTGACACTGACATAGGAAATATGCAAATAAGCTGTTTTTTTTCTTTTTAATATTTTGTATTTTTAGTTGGTACTAAATTATATTTATGCATTAGTTATAACCTATATATTACGTTATTATGTGTTTAACTTTGAGCAGAGATCTAAAAATGAAATTTCCAACAAAGTGTTGTAAATCTTGAATGCTTTGGAGCACAGACTCAGATTTTGTAAAGGTCTCTTTTTAAAGAGAGATGCAGGTTTTTGGCTAAAGTAAAAAAAAAAAAATGAAATGAAAGTGGAATTAAAAAAGTTTAAAGAAGTTTAAGTATATTGTTTTGAAAAATCCACAAAAACACTTTCAATTTATATAAAGTACATCTTTTTAGAGTAAAACAACAAAACATGTTTTACTCTAAAACTATGAGGGTAAAAAAAGACAAATGTTGTGTTCCAAATTTGAGGTTGATATCTCAAAACATAAGCTTTCAGTAAGATTTTGTTTGGATGCAGTACCAAACATTTCACTAGATGAAATCTGTTTCCAATGCAGTAATTTTTCAGCACAACTGAACCTCTTTCGTTTCATGTCCGTGACGTTTTTTGTCTTAACATAGCAAGTGCTAAAACCGTTACCAAGTTTCATACCATTATGATAAAGAACAATTCTAAATATATATATATACATTTTATTTTATTTAAAGAGCACTAGAGGGTTAAGAATGTACAATGTGAAACGACAGCTTACTAATACAGTGGATTGATTGTTAACCCCAGCTAAATTATGAGCAGTGTGGATTCCATGGGGTTTAGAATGACACAAGCTTAACTGTTTCAAGTGTGAAAAACCCTATGAGTTTTGTGAAGTTTGCAAAGGTTACCTGTGTATGTATGTGTGCACACAGGCTGTGGCTCTCTGTCAGTATTTGGAAAAGAACCGGGAACAGGTTGATCTGCTGGATAAAGCAGTGCTGGAACTTGGAGCGGGAACAGGACTGGTGTCCATAGTGGCAAGTTTACTGGGTACATAAACTAACATCTCTTTTTTTCTGTGTGCATGAAAGTGTTGATGTGGAAGTTCAAAGGTCAATTTATTTGAATTATTTGTTTGCAGTTAGCATTTATTTTCATTTACACCTTTTCCACATCAAGGTGCCTGGGTCACGGCCACAGATCTGCCCGATGTCCTGTCAAATCTGAACTTTAACCTCTCACGCAACACACGGGGTCGTTGCAGATACACACCTCAGGTGGCGGCTCTGGTTTGGGGTCAGGATGTGAAACGTGACTTCCCCAGCTCCATCTACAATTATGACTATGTGTTCTGTGCAGACGTGGTCTATCATCACAACTTTCTAGAGGATCTACTAATCACCATGCAGTACTTCTGTAAGCCAGGAACCACCCTTTTGTGGGCAAATAAGGTCAGGCTCTATGTTTTCCCATTAAATCATAGCTTACATGTTAGCTTTATGTCTTGGTAGCCTCTTTTATAAGACCTGTTGGTTGTCGATGTTTCATTTCCAACAGATGCGATTTCAATCTGACCTGCGTTTCATTGAAAACTTTAAAAACGGTTTTAACGTCACATTGCTGGAAGAGATCCCACAAGAGGAGGTAAGGATCTACCAGGCCACTGCAAGGACATCAGCCCAAATGAGGGAGGAGAAGAGGGAGAACCAACAACATGATGTGTAGCAAGAATTGCAAATAGGAGATTCATACATTAAATGAGTCCAGCAGCCCCAACATTGAAGGGAAGGTGCTCCACCTGTTGGTCATCTGCAAAGTTGCATGGAATGATTTCCAAGTGCTACTATTCCTGATAATAATGGAAAAAAAACATGTCAAAAAAGAGTGATACTTAATGTATGATTTTTTTTTTATTAAGTATGGAAACTCCTTTTTGTTTCAGAATAAAAAAGGTATGTTTTAAGTAATTCATACTTGTAATTGTCACTTTATATGTCTACTTCTCAATGTGACACAATTGTCAATTTCTTATTTTAAATATTATCTCACAGTAATCGGTTTATTTCTTAGTCAGAGTTGGAAATAGAATTTAGTTTTTAGTGTGTGAGAATTTATTAAAAAAAAATGATGTTTTGTTCCCCAATTTATTATGTATAATCATTTATACTATCATTGTTAATTGTTAAGATTTTATTGCATTTGCAACATGGTGCAAAGTCCTAATCTTCTCCCTAAATCTACGCTACAGTTCAAAAGCTTGTTGTGGTCAGTAACTTTTGCTTTAAGTAAATTATTATTTTCTTTAAATTATAGTAGTAGTAGTATATATTTATTTAATGCCATGTCAGCATCTTTGGCTATTTTCATGGCAAAAACTAAATCAATTTCAAGTATAACAAATACAATAAAAACCAACAAACAAACAAGTTATATTACACAAGATTTTTTTACATTAACCTATGATAAAAATTCATCAACTTTTTCTGGCAAAGTTATACTAAACTTGTATTTTAATTATAAATTAATAATTTGGTTTCCACAAAAATATTAAGCAGCACAACCATTTTAAAAATTGATCAATGTTTCTTGAGCACCAAATCAGCATATTTGAACGATTTCTGAAGGATCATTTTACAATGAAGACTAGAGTTACAGCTGCTGAATATTCAGCTTAGCCATCACATAAGTAAATAAGATGAAATAAAGTTAATTAGATTAAATAAAATATATTCAAATAGACGTTATTTTAAAATTTTATATTTCACAATATTACTCTTTTTATGAATAACAAATGCATCAAATAAATGCATCCTTGGTGAACAAACTTTTCATAAAATTTACCTCAAAATTATGAACAGTATAGTGTATGTCACGAGACAAGATAAACAACAAATCCTATTTTAATAAAGTAGAGTCATCCTCAAGGAAAAGTGTGACAAACAAAGACAAATTAACATTAGGCTCGCCTAAACAGTTCCCAAGCTAATTGTCTCTCAAACAACTTTGAAACAGACGAGCTCATGGGAGACGTCACTCAGGGACTAAGATGACTTGTTTACAGCCTTTGCAAACAGAATAATAAAGACAGAAATGATAGGAAGGAGAGTCCTGAAGGGGGGCTTGACTCTGGATCCCACAGGGACTGTTGTGTCATTCTTGGTCACATGACAAAAATCCGAAATTTGCAAAACCTCTCCACTTACAGCGATAAAACACTCAGTGAGCAATATAATACCAAAACATGTCAGAGGAGAGTAGAAACCAGAAAAATAATTTAATATAGATATGTCCAAGTCTGGAAATTACAGCTTTAACATTCTCTAATACTGAAGTTCTTACAGTTAATTTCAATGCTTTAAGTGTGGCTACTTCAACTAAAAAGAGCTACCAACAGTCTCTCAAACACTATGGGGAAAGCATTAGAAAACAGTATGCCATGTCAACTTCCTGAACGCAAATCTAGTCACACTAGGCACATATATAAAATAAAAGTTTATTGAAATTAGTAGAATTACATTAGTGTCGCAAATAAACACGAGTTCGATTCTTAAAACATTCTTTATATTTAAATTTGAAACTTATATTAGATTACAGAAAAGTTACTTTGAGGAGTCAGTACAAGGATTCAGCTTTTTTTTCTTTTTTAAAGGAAATGTTCAAAGGGAAGTCGAGAGAGACCTAAAGCCCATATCTTTTTAAATACACAACAATAATCTTACACGCTTTAAGGTATTACTGACGCGGAGAGAGGACACTAGAAACAAATCTTGGTATCATGTGGTTAAGAAACAAAGCATTTTTATATTCCTGTAACTGCTTTAAGGTACTTAAGTTTCTCCGATGTCCTCCAGTGTCTCTAGGACAGGTTGGCCCATGAAGCTCGGAAACCAAACGAGAACAAAGAAACGAAAAAAGGCTGACTCCTCAGAGTCCTCCAAAAAAGCAGCGCTCTGCACAACGCCAAGGAGCCGAACACACACGGGAGGAGAGATTCTACAAAAAAAGCCTGCAAGAAATCATCAGGTCAGCATACGAAAAGAGTCCACACATCCAAAGACCTGCCCTCCACATGGGGCAAAAAATAGCAGCCGGCTTTGTAGGTTCTTCGATTCATTAGTCTCCGAATCATCAGAATGCAAATCAAGCCAGCAAGTTCAAAAACAACAACGACAACTAAAGAGATCATTCAAAAACAGAAGAGAACTACTTCACACAAAGATCACACAACATTTTCCAACAGCTCGCTGTACGGCTGTACGCAAGTGGGGTTTTCTTCGGGAGGGAAGGTTTCAGAGGGTCACGCAGATCAGAGCGGATAACATCCAGTAGGAACGCTGCGACAGGAAATAAAGTGACACCTCTAAACTTCAGTAAAGTCCTTTAGCTGAAAACTACAATTCCCAGCAGGCAAAGCACACAGCCTGTGATGATGTGGCTTGTCCTGAGCTCAGAAAGACTAGGATGAAAACAACTCATCCTATTAAAGCCTGTGTTCTTCAATGCCCTTCTCAGACAGAGAGTGAAAGAAAGGGTGAGTCGCAGAAGAGGAAAAAGAACGATGTGGTTGATCAATCCTCGGACATGGCAGCTGGAAGAACTTGTGCACGATTGGACAGGCTGAACGAGGACTGGGCTTAGTCCTCGTCATCGTTTTCGTCAAATTCGTCATCGTCGTCATCGCCCATGTAAGAGACGGGGGTCTCCACCCGAGAGCCGCTGTAGTGGGAGTCGTTTGAACTGGAGGCCATCGTGCCGTCTGCCCCACCGTCACTGTCAGAGAAACAGAGGAAAGTGAAACACGCTGGGATACAAGACACTGTTGTATCTGTTGTTCCAAAACAAAGTACTCCAAAAATTTAACTACACAAAATCAGTCCATAGTGCATGCATGTAGGGATGTAACGATTACCGGTTTTACGATAAATCACGATAAAATGCCCTGACGGTTAGTATTATCGTTTAAAATTGAATTATCATCAAAACCGTGTTTGATTATTGCGATTTTGAAAACTCGCAGTAAATCCTGTCCAGCCAGCATCAGTATGACGCAGAAGCAGCATGCAACGTTGTTGTTGTTTTTTTTGCACGAGAGGAAATGGTGGAAGGCAGTTGACAGCACTCGGGAGATTTTTCAGCAGTCTAAAGGACCAAATCGGAGGTCTGGTCATATTTTGGCTTTTACAAGAGTCCTGAAGGCAATTTAATCGAGGACGGTCACCCTGTCTGCAGATCTTGCAAGAAGAAAGTCGCTGCAAAAGGGGGAAACGCATCAAATTTGCTCAGTCATCTTCGTGACCACCAC